TTTGAATATTTGAAGTGATTTTTTTCCCTCTCTGTCTTCCCCACTCAGATTCCACTGTCAGGTATTTGGCACTCAGAGTTATTTTAGAAGAAGGCTCAAAATGTAGCCAGGTGACTGTTCAGACCATATCCCAACTACATTATTCTCTTGAAGACATGAAAGAGTCATACATGCCATTTCAGGAATCTTGGCTTTCATCACTTGCTGACTTTTGGATCCACTGTAAGATTTTCTTTTTAAGATAATGTCACATTCAGCTGTTTCCACTGAACTAATTTTGCCAAAAATACAGGACTGTAGAAAAAGGGCAGAGTCAACTCCCTTTTTCCTATTGAGTCACTGACAGAACTCTAAGCACTGTGAACAACTGCTAAAATGTGAGGTGACAAAGATCTTCAGAAAAGACCGTTTCTTTCAATGTTTTTAATACCATTTTTTTCCCCCAAGAAAGGAAACCTAAATAAATGCAAATAAAGACAAACGCCCTTTAGAAATAAAAATAAATCCTGAACTGTGGCTTGGTCTGATCAATATCAAGCTGTGGCACTGTAGATAAAGTTTATATCACTACACACCCAGTCCTCTCTCTTTATATCCAGAGGCACGTTTTTTTTTTATGAAGGAGCCAGTGCTTCTGCTTCAGAGTCATCAAAGGTCAAAGAACTTCACTGATTCATTGACACACAGATAATTCATTTCCACTTGTCCTCTCTGCATGAATACAGATGGTTTATTATCCTGCAATCTAAAGGATGAGGATGGGCAGAGTGGTGTCTCATATTTGAATAAACAACAGGAATAAGTAATAAATAGTACATTAAAACAAGTCACCCTTGAATGGAAAGGCTGCTGTTGACCCCAGGCCTTAGGCCAGCAGCTCTTTATATTACAGTGAAGACCAAACACTAAAATTGTCCAAGATCCCTGTGAAAATGAAATAGACTCCTACATTTTTGTGTTGAGCATTTGCATCCCCAGGTTTTATGGCCTCTGAACTATCTTCACTGTTCTAGAGTGTTCTTGTAAGAGGTACAAAAAGGAAATAATACTTAAAGGAAATAATTTCTATTACTCAAATTACAGTAGGCATTCACCCAATGTTGGAACAATTTTGGAAGGGAATGGTAACTGGGACTTGATCTTGGAAAAAGAAAAAAATTATAAATAATAAATATTCAGTCACATACATATTTATACAGATTTCTGCATCTATGTGTTATCATGCAGAAGTTTCCAAAGGCTTCAGAACTGTCAAGTACTAATGATGCAATGCCAAGGTAAATTTTAAAATTTTGTGAATCACTGCAGAATTTATATAATTGCTGGTGTTCTCATCTGAGTGAACACAACTTTCTGTATTTCTTTAGTTGCATAAACAGTAGATGCAATATTAGCTGCAGTGCAAGATCTCTTCCCACATAGGATCAGGAGAGTTAAAGGGGGTCCAGGTGGGGTGAAAAGGTAATTCTTGGCATATTTACAGAGGTGAAAAGCATGTGTTCCAGTCAATCCTATATCTAAAGAGTGTATTGTGGACAAATAGTCTCTATGAAATTGTCTAAACCAACTGATTCTACTCGGACTAATTAATCACCATGAGAAAGCTGCCATTTTGTGTTAATTACAGAACTATTACTTGGAGGTGACCTACCCTATAACTAACTCGGTCTTCTACAATGACTGAAAATTCCAGTTTATTACAAGTTTTCTGAGTTTATTTTTCTTGTGTCTTAGTGAATTGCCAACATAAAGTAAATATCTGACATAATAAATGTGATTGAGCATTTCCCCATTCTTAATGGCTGACTGAATTTGCTTCAGGGTGTAAAAAAAGTGTAATAAAACCCCAAGTGTGTCACATTACCAACAAATAATCTCAATAAGTGACCTGGATTATAGTAGAAAATGCTGACTGAATACCAGGGTTATGATCCAATGACAATGACGTAGGGAGAAGAGTGGTAGAGTTATGATGTCCAAGTACTAGAAATGGCAAATTTACCTATTGCATTCATTCAGAGATAATCCTATTAGGAAAAGTATTAAACTTTCAGAATGCTTTTACTGGTTGTAGTGGGGAAATTGAAAAATATAGTGAAGGACATTTCAACCTGGTAAAAAAAATTCCTCTGCAGGGATCTTAAAACTTTTAGTTCTGTCTAAAGCACCTCTTATGATTTTTTAACTCTCCTTCCCTCCCATAAATTTGAAGTTGATGGGAATGATGGAATTTATTCCCTTTTATGCTACAGCAGTTCTTGTGTGCACTGGAGATTGCGGGCTATCGAAACTGTGGTTGTAGCCCTGAGGTTTTTAAATGCCCAACCATCTGTTGGAGTACAGCAATGGCACGGCTTGGATTGGTACCACCACATTTTAACCCTCACTGGTCCACTGCCTAGGGAGCCAGGAACAGCAGGACCCTCATCTTCTGTGGCCTCATCCGTTCTCTGCTTGTGTTGCCTACTTTTCCTTAGGTGTAATACTCCTTCTGTTCCTTAGGAAAGGAAAGTGTCCCAAGGGCAAATCTAAGCTCATTACATAGTCAGTGAAAGGGAGAGACACTTCCAAAAGACAATTCACCTATCCTGGAAACATTTCTGAGTGGAATATGCTATCTATCTTTGCTGACTAGAGGACATGACTATTTTAGACCTGCCCTTGACTGGTAGGAAGGTAAACGTGAGATTACTCAAGAGTTGTGCATGTATCCTTAGCATATTGTGAGACCAATATTGTGGTCTTCAAAAACTGTCTTTTCCTTGCACCTTTTTCTGGGATAAACAAACTTTCCTTTCCACATCCTTTCTCTCTATAAAAGGTGATTATTTTTTTTCTTGCGATGTGATCAAGAGCAATAGATCAGCCTCACACAAGTTACTGAAAATAAGGAAGGACTTCTTTAACCTCAGCAGACACAGATATCCTTGTGTTTTACCATCTTATACTGCCAAATACTTTGTGATTGATTCCACAGTTTATGAATTCATTTGTGCAGGGACCATATTCATACCGAGCTTTATACAATGCTGATCATAAAGTCAGCACATAATAAGTTAATAACAGCAAAAGAATGACATATTGAGAGACTAAAGGTTTATACTTTCAAGTTTTATTTTCTTTTTCAGGAACTGAGAAAAACACCTTCCATACTATATTTTTGTCTGAAGTCTTAATGCACAATTATGGAGAACCAAGGTACCAATGCCAAAGTAACAAGATTAATGCCTTTTTGACAGAATTTAATAATATGGTTTTATAATATTTAATTTTGTTCATAAAATATCTCTCAGTAGGAAACTTCTTTTTACTTACCTAAACATTATTGCTTTAAAACAATTTAATTCATATTTCCTGGCACAAAGAGTTTATTATGAAGACTTGTTGGGAACGGGTTTTTATAGGCTCGTGCAGGGATTAGCTTCAACTTAATTTGGATATTCAACCAATTTTGACAAGTATAGTTCACTGTGGGCTCATAATGCAGTCCTTAATTCATTTATCCTCTCTTATACGCTCCAAGGCCTTTAAAATCATGTTATATATATAGTCTGGATAACAAAACTCATGTTGGTTTTGGTTTTGATGTCTGGGGAAACTATCCAACCACCAGTGCAGTTGAGAATGTTTTTGCCTCAGTGAAATGAGGGTGAGAGCTGTTATGTAAGCAGAAAATATTGTCCTCAGCAGCAAAAATTCAATCTTCAGTACCAAGCTTTCTAGACAACACATGGGGTAGCATAAAGCCCTGCCTCTCTGCTGTGAACCAACATCAAATGCCTCCTCTTGCAAAACCAATTTCCAAGCAGCAGATCTCTCTATTCATGCCAAACTGTTCCTCAAACAACGAGATGTAGATAGTTTGTCATTGCCATGCAGGGACAAGCCTAATACACAACTGCAGCCTGGACTCTACCCAGATCCCGAGTTCTGGAGGCACCAGCACAGCCTGTGGTGCCCATGGGAGGTGAATGGGGCCCATTTTTGTGATCCTCCAGAGAGGAAGGTCCTGGGGAAAAAGGCCAAAGTGCCTGGCTGTTAGGAAGATGTGTGGACAGCATTGAGCAACTGAGATCTACACCTCTATTCAATCTAAGTATTTGTGTGTACTTGACAAGTGACATCTTAAACAGTGACCTGAGTGCTGTGGGATTGGAGGACCAAAGGGTTTCTAGCCCCACTGTAAGTTATCTACATACACCAGTGACAGATGCAAATAATAAAATGCAAACCAAACCCTCAAATGTAAATGGAAACCTTCTCCAAACATCCCAGGTTTAATCCCATTTTTTTTTTCCTTTGCCACCAAATGGATACTATAATGTTTATTGGTACAGGAAGAAATGATGAAGGTAGGCAATAACCTGAAAGAGACACCATCATTTTCACCAGATTGGAAAGAACAAAAACATTAAACTTGCAGATCTCAGTGCTGCTTATCTGGAAAAATGCCATAGTTTTTTCAGAGCTACAACTTTTTCCTCCTTGCAGCTGAGTGCCCTTAATCCTCCGTGGTATTGTGACATGGCATCATCGCATGGCAACGTCCACCTGTATGGGAATTTGTGTGGGGAAAAGGATGGCTCTGGTCATAAGGAAACAGCAGCAGGCAACACCTGAGGACACTTCACAGATCAGGGAAAGTTTCAGCTGTACATCTAACAGATGCCCCTAAGACTGATTGTGTCTTTGTGAGAGAATAAAAACATGGATCCAGTCCTGTACACGTTGATTTAAAATCCATCCATCAGCAGAATCCAAGATCATCTCCACTATTAGATTCAATTGCAAAACTGAGATCCAAGGATGTAAAGTGAACGCATCACAGTAGAAACTTGATGAAAGAGGAAAAAACTTTCCTTTTTTTCAGTTTAGGGGTGTGTGTAGCTGGGTGAATATATACATACACTCATAAAAAGGAAGGTGGAGTATGTTTAAAAGCGAGTCAGGACTTTTCCTTCAGTATTACAAGTGATGTGGAAAATATTCCTTGCAGCTACTGTGGGATAAATCGCAGCATGATCAGAGATATGGATCAGATGAGCACAGAAAGCTGGTGAGAGTTTAAGTAAACTCTGGCCACCTTTTCCTCTGACTTTACCTCCATAGGTTTGTTGTCTTCTAAATCGTAACAGCGTAATTGAAGGAAAAGAATTGTTCTTGTCAGAATGTGTATAAACACATTTGTCCAGAAAACTCATGCCAGTAAGCTTGAGCAGGAGCTTTTCTACCTACACTAAGGTGAAGAAGAAGAAAAAAATGTCTCATAGGATCATAGAACCATTTAGGTTGGATAAGACTTTTAAGAACATTGATTTCAATTGTAGTCTATACAACTTAAAATTTACATGGAAAAAGTAAATCAGAATGATTATTTACCTTTACTGGTAAAACAGAAATTAACAGACACACAAAAGAATCAGCAATTGCAACAATCAAAGCAAATAAAACAACGGAGGTTTTTTTCACTTACCAAGTTATTATACTGTGGAACACGTTGCTGCAGGATTTTCTGGACACATAGTGTCTAAAGCGGATAAAACAAAGACCATTAGCCTTCAAACACCAAGAAACAGCTAAATCCTCCTCTCAGGAAGGCTCTAACCTGCAGACTGGCAGAGCCAGAAGTACACAGCTCAGGAATAGGCACTGCTCTACTCACCTGCTTTCTGCTGGCACCTGCAACCAGCTAATGATACCAAGCACAGCTCTGGGCAGAATAGACATTTTTTTTATCTCCGCAGAATGATTTTTATAATCTTCTTCAGTACGGTTTGATTTTCACACTCTTTATTGCACTGCAATTTCCTTCTAGCAGAAAAGCTTCCTTTTGGCGTTACTGGAGTCTGTTAGCTATCAGGGAGGGATTCTCTGACCACAAGGGAAAAAAACCAGCCTTGCTACACCTGAATTGATCCTTTGTACGTTTTTATTTTGTTGTGGGTGCTCTTAGTGACCCTGAGAGTTTTTGATGAACACCTGCTGCTCCATCCTAATAGACCACAAAAAATGGGGCTGTGGAATTAAGCCATTTACAAAAATGTAGTAGGAAAGACAGTGCAGCTGGAGGCATAGTACAGGAGAGGAAGAACATGTCATTTTAGCTGCCTAGAGAACTAGATAGACCATGTGTGTATGTCTAAACCTTAATATCAGTGACATTAATATTTTTATTGAAAACATACTCACACATTTCCCAAATCCAGTATATATTTTTACTTACAGTCACTTATCTTTAAGCTCTCCATTGTATTTTAACATCTTCTCTTCTTGGCTTACTACTGAGTAGCATGAAGGTCAATGCTTAATATAGGCTTGCAGTAAACTACACTTCTCCAACTTCACTTTCAATATACCTTAATCAAAAGTCTTCTAGGAAAACTGCTGTTCCCGCTAATGACAAGTATCATATGGTAGCTGGCCTCTGTCTCACTAAGTCCCATTCACTGCTAAAATTCAGAAAATGGCTCAATTAGTAGAGAATTTGAGAGATGTTGCTGCAGGAGATTTGTGAGGAGAGATGCCAGCAGATAAATGTGAGTCATTTTTCAACTCAGGAGGCTTCAGCTCTGATTGTGCAGACTGATTCTACTTAATTCACTTCATTCTTTCCATGTAGGTGAGGAAGACAGCAGGTGAATAGTAAGATACAAAAACTGGAGCAAAAATGAGTGTTATTAAAGTGAATCAAAGTGACAATTGGATTGGCAAGTACACAGGTAGATTATCTATGATTCACAAGCCTGTATTACTTTTAAAATGTCATTAGCCAGGCAATGAGTATATGGAGATGCTAGTAAATCCCCAAAGTTTCCTCAATTTTATAACTTTCCCTATAAGTCCCTGAATTCACACAGCTCTGTGGAGGTCTGAATGCTGTGATCACTCTTCTCTGAGCAAGGGGCTGGAGCAGAGACCTCTCCAACTCCTTCCCAGCCTGAATGAGCCTATGCTTAATGTCTCCTGTTTAAAATATACACATTGTCTCTCTTGAGAATGAAAAAAAAAAGTAATAGGAAAGAACTTTTGATATGGCTCCCACAATAATCACTGAATGTGGACACTAGAATTGAAGAATTCCTAAATAGATCAGAATCTCAACAATATTGATAAAAATGCATTTAACTGAGGTGATAAAATTAATTCAGTCATCTGGCATATCGGGTAGTAACGTGATGAACAATGAAGTTCAGACCTACATTTCATCAAGTCAAATGGGGCCAGCAATAACAACCAAGCAGTGCCTGATCATCCAGTATTTTGAACAGGTATAATAAAAGTTACCTGCTGGTGAAGACTAACATGTTCCAGGTGAGCAACATAAAACCCATTTTAGAGATGGACTGTGCAAACCCATGGCTCCTCTCTTAACAGTTCAAGGTGTGAACTGCCCTAGTTTTCCTGGTGGAGTTATTCCCTTCCAGCAGAGATTGTCCCACAGACGTTCCCCAAGGGAGGGAGACGGATGTGCGATCAAAAGTTCTGGTCATAGCTCAGAAGAAATAAAAAAAAAATCAGTTGCAGATAACATGGCTTACAGAGTAAAAATGGCAACCTACAACCCTAACTGAACTCACACTCCTGAGCTCTGAGGTTTGGTCTCTAGGTGAGCACTAGAAAATGAATATGGCTGATCTTCCAACAGCACGTGGTTCAGATACGACACAACAAACCCTGGAGTTTTGTCCAGGTTTATATTGTTTCAGTATAGAGAGTGCTGCACCTTCTTAGATCCATTATGGGTTTCAAGTCTTGCCAGTCTTTGTTCATAAATTATCAGAATCCTCATATTTCTTCAGATTTCTGGCTTTTTGCTGATTTTTTTGTAACCTGATTTTCACTGAAGGCTTCTAAATTCCACAGACCTTAGAGTAACAGGAAAAAAAGCCTCAGACTTTAAAATCTGTAGCATGAATCTTATGGGAAGAAGAATGAGAAAATGGCTTCTACATTTCCAGGAACTGATAGGAATTCCTGATGGAAATCAAATTATATTCTTCCACTAACTTCAAGAGGAAAAAGGCATTTTACCTTGAGATTGTAGAGAATTACTTCGGGCAAAAAATATACCAGTAGGATATTAAAGAGCGGTTGAAGCTAAAACTTTCTGCAGAAAAGGAGTGGAATCAACAAAGTTCTGAAGTTCGCAAAAAAATGATGTTTTGTTTGTTTCCAGCTGCCTAAACATTTCGGTTTAACATCACTATATAAGAATTGGGTGTCTTCTGGCTAGAAATTATGTTTTGTTTTAAAATGTAAAGATAGGCACATACTGTGGTTAATATGATGCAAGCTGGAGTCTGAATTTGCAGTAATTTAGCGCATCTGTGGTAACTGCCTGTGGGGAGACTTGTACATGGTTATAAATGTGTGGTAATTTGAGGTTGCCTATCCCTCCTCTGAATTCCCCCTCTTGGAAGTAAATGATCTTACATTTACTGATAGGTAAGAAGGTGCACAGTTATTACTAAGTAGCCAAACACTTGTGGCAGCTTGTTTGCACATCTTTAAGATCAGCTAATTACAGTGGGAAGAAAAAAAAAAGAAGTGATTAGAGCCATAACAAAGCATCTGAAATTCTCAAAAGAAAATAATTTTATTTATTGAACTTTGATAACTTCTATATTTCTAGCCATGGAAATATCCATGATTTTTTGCCATTCTCTCTGATTCACGAGGCATTATTCACAGGTATTATTCAAAATTTCAATACTTCTAATCTAGAAAACCAATTTCCATTCCAGAGTAAATTTTTATCTCTGCCCTTTTTCATAGCTAACTGAAGTGAGACTTTTTTTTTATTTAGACCATAAAAACTTTTAGATGATTAACTGTGAACCCAAAGACATACTTTATCCCCTATTTATTTTCCTGATATGAGGCCATTCCCCCTTCTGCAGAACAGATGGAGTTCTACTATATCATAATAAATAATATCAGACTCCGTTTTTGAGGTGTGGATATCATCGTTGGTGATGACTTAGGTTTAGTTGTCTGTTGGACCAGCCCTCATCAAATGAAGTGTTTAGGAGTTCAAGCAGGAAGATGTACTAGCACAAAGTACAATATCCCTCCTGGAAGATAGTAAGATCTGTGTTCAAAACAAGCAGGTAGTGAACTTGGTATCTCCTCCCCATGGATGTTATGACACCTAAATTTTATATTCAAAGGGACACCTGAAAATGACAGTGCTGCCTTGCAAGCCTGGAGCTGTTATGTCTCTAACCCCTTCCTCTCCCTTCCAGTGGATCTAACCCTAATAACAGAGACAGTAATGAAAAACAGAAAAGGAAAGTTTGAGAATTCATATCAATTGAAAATTTCAGCATTTAATTTTTACAATTAAGCACCAAATTTTATACCATTTATTTTCACAACAGCTGTTCAAAAGTTCTTTAGTGCGCCTCTGTACTCTCTCTCCAGTAACAAAAATTGTTGACTAATTTTACCGGAAATCTCCTTTAATTAAAAGTGGCCACAGAGTTAACCTTTCATAGAAACATTAAATTAGAAGTGTCCACAGGGTTGCATACAAATCAGAACCCACGGTTGCCAGCCAAACCACACACTGTAGATGTGGCTTTGTAGGGAGAACCCAAGAATCTTCATTCCAAAACCACAGGTACCTACTACTATCTTGTTTAGCTCCTGCAGTAATAAAGCTGATGGTCTGCATGGGAACCAGCAACTGCATCCACACTGTAGAGGACACCTAATACCTCCTTTATGGACTGGCCTTAGTGAACAGCCAAGCATACCACAACAAGGCAAGGTGTCCTTTATGGAATCTAAATTTGCCAATAATTTGTGTAATTCATGGGGCTTTTCTGTCTTCTTCCCTAGAAACAACTCACATATATGTTTCCCAGTTTTCTGTTCCACTTATTCAGAATGACAGAGACAGGGAGAGAAAGTTTAGGATGAGGTGTCCCCTCTTGACTTCATGTGATTCTAAATTTACTTTTTTAAAAACAAAATTTTCAGAGGAATATGTGAGTTTAGAGATCAGGCAAAACTAAATCTGTCCCAGCTCCACTGTGATAAGTTCATTTCTTCTGAGCAAACTTTTCACGAACGTGAGTGAAGTACCTCCAAATCTGGAGAAGAACTGCTCCACCTCCTACACACCCACCAGGCTTATCAGATCAGTCACGCTGCGGGAACCTGCCTTGAAGTTCTCTGCCTCATAAGGATCCTGAACACACATTGGTATCAGATTCTTTCCCAGTGTTTCCAAAACACCAGGAGAGAACCGATTCCTTATTCCTTTTCAAGTTGTTCCTAAAGTGGTGCAAAGCTGGGTTTGAATGCCTTGCTCCCCCCTCAGCACAGCAGGTTGAGCAGATATCTCCCCTGCTCTACGTGCACAGTGCTAAGGATGAGCAGTGATGTCTCCCGAACATCAGAGATCACAGACAGCAGAAAGAAAACGGCATGTCTTGTGGGGAAATAAACATTTCGTAATTGCTAATGTTTCCTTTCGGGTAAGTGAAAAGCCTGAACAGATTAAATAAAAAAAAAAAAAAAAAAAAAAAAAAAAAAAAAGAGAGAGAGATTTAATTTCTAGTTTAAATACAGCTGCAGTAATTCTTATACACCACACAGCTGTTCAGAGGCCTGGCAGCTGTCCATATCCTATGTGTCCTATCATGCATTTTCCAGTATTGTCCTCTTGACACATAAAGACTGTCTTTAACTGTCAGGAAAAGATAGTCATCCTGGAGTCAAACACATCTATTTCTTATCACTGATGGCCTTTACACTCGCCGAGCCTCTTCACTTACCTCCCTGTGGCTGTGATGTTGTTAGAGAGGAGAATCATGTGCTTTTTTTATTTCTTTCTTTAACATAGTCCTCTATAATGATGGTAGACCCCAAATTGTACACTTGTTTGTTAGAAACAAACCAAAATCATTGCTAACACACATTTATATTGTCCAAATAACTGGGATGACAAAAGTTTCTACCAAAACACCAACAGATGTGCCAGTTCCACTGCAAGTGCAGAGTGGGAAGGGAGGTTGACAAGTGTTCCTGCCAGGATGTGATGTCAGTCTGAATTAATTTCTTAGAGAATAGAATTTCTGGTTTTATAGTAAAAATGAGAATGAAGAACATCTTATCCAGTATCCTGAGCACTTTTTTAATAAGCTTCTCAATTTTTCCTGCCGGCTTTTATTCCAACCAAAAATAGATGTGATTGCAATGCTGTTGTTCCTCAGCAGCAACATGTATTATAACTTCTAGCTAACAGTATCATGCAGTTCTGCGAAAGGTTTCCTCCACTCTGGCTTCTGACAACTTCCAAAATACATGACACAAAATCCTCACAACGTGCTTGTACAACAGAGGCAACGTTACAAGTGAGGGAAAGGAGGGCTGGAGACGCAGAGTTGTGCATAGGACATGCTCATGCCTAGCAGTATTCTATAACTTTATGGAGCCACTTCAGAGAAAGACAAAAGCACAGGTAAGGTCCATCATGGCTCTGGATAACCTTCCCATGCCTCCCTGGCCAGGATTTGACACTCCTGGATCAGCTGATGTCCTGTTGCCCACACCCTTACATGGCTCTAGGTTAGCGCAGTGCTTTCACCTGTCTTTGTAGGTGCTGCTTATCTCCTCTGTTATTACGAAATATAAAAATTACCTTAAAACAACATTAAGGTTAAGCAATAGACAAGCCAAGCTTTGCCTCCTTCATGCATGGCACTGAATCTATTTTTCCATTGTGCTGTCTTTTTTTTTCTTTTTTTTTTAAACCATAGATTAACTTCTGTATCACTTGCTAGCCCCACCTTACCTCCTCCCATATTTGTATATTCTAGCATATCAAAGCAAGATGTTTTTACATGATAAGTTCTCTTCTCTCTGTGCAACTTGGGTAAATAGGTTTTCCAGAAATGTTTTACTCACTCCTGTGTTTCGTACGTCACCTGTAGTTTGTAGTTGAAGTAGAGTTTTACTAGGTAACTATTGTACAAAAGACATTCCCTGGTTCTATTTACCCTTAATCTGGGAAACAGTAAGAACAGCCACAAGTTACTATTCCTGTGTACCTAAAGATACAGAAATAATATTAGTTCAGAGACAATATGTTATCGTATTTTATAATACATGTGCCCTTTTTAGCTATTCACTCCTGGGCACAGGGAAGTTCATTTTTAACCTTAATTCTGAGTTTAGTACCTTTTAGCATGTGAAAGTATGTAGCACTGAAGTCTGTTTACAGAGTTATTCATTTCCTGGATTTATGATTTTTTTTTTTTTTTTTTAAGTAAAAGAAAAGAGGAGGGCCTCTGGAGCTCAGCAAGTGAGCAGCTCATTGCATGTACCAGCTCTGCATCCTCTCTCAGAAGAATATATTATGTATTAAAGTGCAAAAATACACTTTAGACAGACTCTATGCTAGGATTTTCAAATGCTAACAAGATGGTAAATGGCAAGGATTTCTTTTCATAAGAAAGTTTCACACCTGTCATAGCCAAAATCTAATTTCAAACACTTTAAATTTGAGGCTTGTAAGTCCTGCTTTTCCTCAGGTGTCCCCAAGAAGGAGTTTGTATAGAAAGGTAATTATGACAGTTTCTGCAAGAGTAATAGAGATGGGATTAACCTGATACCACCTTTCAACCCCAACTTTTTCACAGTTGCAAACTTGCGATTTTTTTGGTATCGCAGGAAAGATGTTTTCTTTTATTTTTCCTTTCTTCATAACTGGTAAGCCTTTTTGGTTAAGCTTTCAAGCAAGTCCACACCAAAGACTGTCACTGTCACAAAACATGCTGCAGCAGTGGTTTTGCAGTCTCATCTAGAGGTCATTTCCCCAGAGTTTGCCTCTTGAATTTTTCCTGGCAGACACCAGCATATCCTTTGCTTCAGATTTTCCGTCATGTTACTTCATAGGCCCCTGCAATCTTCTCCTCTTTTTCCTGGTGCTTACACCGCTGACTTACTCATAGGCACTCAGCATGTCTCCCTTTAGCTATACATATTCTGTTCTTTTAATCTTTCATCATAAATCAATCATTCCAGTGCTTAATCATATGTGTTATTTCCCATGAAATGCTCTCCAGCTCCCCTCCCTTTCTCCAATCAGTGTTATGTGCCCAGAACTGAACTTACTTATTTTTCTAATTGTGTGACCAAAGAGACATCCAATGCAGGACAGTCGTCTTATGAGTGTATATAATGGGAGTCAGCTCAACTAGTAAGGTTAGTGCATCATCACTCTCTTTGGTAGCTGCCAGTCGGCTGATTATTTTGTGTAACTTTAAAAATAGAGATTCAAGAAAGTAGCCTGAATGGAGAGATGGTGACAAATGGAGACGAGGGTGGCAAATATCAGTGTTTCATTTCAGACATGGACTGATCCATGGCACGTGAAACCTCACAGACAGTGTGGGAATTCAGATCCAAAAGTGGGTTCCATGGCTCACAAGATTCACTTTTATTTGAGGTATTTGGCTTTGTAGTTCTCCTAAAGAAGTCAGCCTCCTCCCAGCTTCCCAACTCAAGTGACTTCCCAATCCACTAAAATTACCTGACTGATCAGGACTGAAATCATCCACAGGGCCACAAGGCTTTTCCTTTGAATCATAAATTAATTACTAGAAAAGGAGACATAGTAAAAGAAAAAGAATGAGAAGAAAGAAGAGTCTAGGGGTAAATAAGACTGGAAAATTTGCAACCCCTGAAGGGTTGAGGGAAGGAAATGAAGGACCAGTCCTGCTGCTAGACTTCTTCCTGTCCCTGAAGAAGACTGACTTATTTCCCTATTCTTATTTGGGAAGACTAAAAGACCTACTCATGAGTGTCATGAGAATTGTACCAACTTGGCTCCTGAAGGTACACAGAAATGACTGTAAGTCCATCAGCTCTCATGGAGAGGTTGGGCAGGCTCTGGAGACAGGACAATGCTCTGAAGTGTATACTATTGCTGGGTGAGATGCTATCATAGATAAGGCCACAATGCAAAGACAGTCCTTACAAACACAGATGAATGTGAAAAGGAGACCGGGTAGACACAAGTGAATATGAGCACAGACAAAGTCTGACGGGGAGCTACTCCTAGTGGCTTATGTAGGCAAAACAATCCTGTCACCTTCAAAGGCAAACGGGAGCCAGGAAACTCTGTTTATGATTTGGGGGATTTTTTGAAATCTTAAGTCTTTCATTATATAACGCCTAAAGCCCTCAGTCACAGCAATCAAGCCCTGCCATATCCGGTGTCACGTAAAGAAGTACCTTCTGTATTGTAACAAATATCATCAAAGGGCTTACATCTAAATCATATTAGTCAGAAGAATGTACTGATTATATTTCTGATGAGTACATTTCCTCATAAAAAAATTTTATGTTTCTCGCTTTCATAATGATCTTGTCTTCTTTTTCAAATGGTCAGTCTGAAAAAAAAGCGTCCCTAAATACAAAAAAACTTAAGTGTTTATATTTTTAGCCTGCTTAATGTCCTTGGAACCAGGTGGTCTTCCCCACATGCTGCAGTGGTGCTGGTTCTGAGATGCCTCCTTCCAGTATCAGTGACAGCTGTGATGACCCCTAAGGTTTCTTCATTTAGTGGGTCATCACAACAGTCTACAAATGTTTGGCAGAATCAACTTTTTGGCAGATTCCTTTTGCAAATATGTGCTAAATATTTCTATAAGTAAGCTGCAGGTCAACATTTTTTTATGACCACGTACCATGGACAGAAAAACCCCACAAGACATAAGGCCTTAGTCTTAAAATAGAAGATGGATGCTAATTAAGCTACAGTTAATTGTGTCTTTCTTTGCTTGCACACACAGTGATGAGATCCAGGCTGTTAATGTCTGATCAGTTGATGGTGAGGGATAAAGTCTTACCTAATTTTGGCCATATGAATCTGGACAAATATGACCCCCTGCAGGCACATAGTAGAGACTGTTTCAGGCAGCCTTCTTAAATAAGACTTTTCAGGTAGAAGAAATTTTGCACTGTACTGAAAGTTCTGCACTGTCATCAGGGGCTTTTTCATCATAAATATTGAGCCATAACAAAACAGATGCCACTTTATGCTTCTGCATATGGTGATGTTTAATGCAATACTAAGGGCCCAGCCTGCAAGGACGGCAAATCCTGAAATGCTGTCTTGCTCATTTCAATCACTGGAAGACCTTCAACCTGCGCACTTTGTCTACAGTCAAATCTTACAAGGTTTGGCAGGGTGCCGTGCCCTTGTGGTATATTTAACTGGTATTTCTTCACATATTGTATTTCAGAGGTACTGCACTCCATCAGATCCATCAGATGCATCATTCCCAACCTGGCAAGATGTGGCCACCACAAGTGGCTGAGACTGAAGCGAAAAGGTGAGAGAGCTCTAACAGTAAAAAACAAAGCATAAACCCTCAGCAGCTTGTTTGTCTCCTATAAATACTGAGGGAAAAAATTGAAAGTAGCTTCATGAGAGGAGAAAAAAAAGCTGAATAAAGAACAATCTCTGCCAGTGTCTGTCACTTGACAGATGGTATACTGAGGAATTTAACACCTACCTGTGACTTACACAGAGTAATCTCAGGTCTGTGAGGGAGCCTTGGATAGATATTTTGCAGTCTGGTGCACTGAGATTTAGAGAGTATATTTGGGTTTTGAAGTCACTGGTTTGCTCTGAGAATAACCTCTACAAGGATTACGTATTTTGGGAACGATCTGGCAGACTTTCAGCCAGTTTTCAAGATCTCTTGTATATGCAAAGGGAACTTTGATTTCATGATTAAGATAGATTTATAGCAACAGTAGCACTTATTTAAATAATATGATAATGGGTGAAAAAAACTAGTTTACATTGCATTGAACTGAAATGGTATCTCTAAATACTGTTGAATTCAGAGGTGATTTCTCTCTTCCAGTATTTGTGGGTATTCAGGAGGTTTTTTTAGACATAACATACATTTCAAGAATGAGAAGCAAGTACATCTCACCTTTTAATGAGCCCTGCAAATGTGATATCATTTTTGGGGTAATTTTATTCATAGAAAGAAATTATAATATTTCCCTTTCAAAACCCGTCTGAACCTTTTGTCTGCGTATGTGCCCATTGTGTTCTTCCACAGGTAAGAACTGGATCCTTTACTAAAGGCAGGATTTTGGCATTGCAGTGTTCAGCAATAGCCATGCTACTGTCATCCAACTGGCAAAAGAAATGAGATCAAGCTCTAAGTAGTCATTATCAAATGAAACTAGTTTTAAAATAGAATATTTAGTCATCCTCAAATTAAGACTTTAAGCTATGTGCCTGGTTCTTAGCTGGTATGGTGGGCTTCTATTCAAAGTAATTACTGATTTTGTACATAAAACTGTAAGGTTTAAGAGAAAATACTGGCCTATCTTTACTGAAGGGAATAAAAATCACCTAGATACGGGAATATTCATAGGGGAGTTGCAAAAAGATGAAAGGAACTTTGTCCTGGCATTACCTGAGAGTTTGAATTTTTTAAGCTTTGCCACAAAATACATTGCTTCAGGTGTATTGTGTCTATAGCCATTAATTGTTGATTTCTATAAGCAATATTATTTAAGTAAATGAAGAAAACACATATTCAAGGAAGATGCGACACAGATCTTCTTGGATCTGTCCCCTCTTAGCCAGTCAAATGTCATTTTCTAAGCCTTATGTTTTACTATCAGACTACGTGTAAAAATTAGGAAAAATCCATGTAGTTTTTTAGAGATGATGTGCAATTAACAGGTTAATTGAGAATATGTGATGGATTTAATTCCCAGCAAAGCTGATGAAAACCAGGTTCAGTCTGATACCCAGATGGATGAAAACTTCTCAGTCGATTGTAAAGGTAAATGTTTTATGCAGAGTAGATTAAGTGGCATGTATTGGCATTCAAAGATGCATTTTCCTTCTCCAAAGAGAATCTTTTTTTTTTAAGCTTATTAAAATTTTGTATCAAAGCTGGTTTCAACTCCAAAGTAGATTTTAAACTCAGTTTTCATGCTGAATTATTTTTTTCAGAAAGCATCAAGAGGTAAAGTCTTCTATGCAAACACTGTAGGCGCATGTCCCTGAGCTAATTGGCTGCACCGCTAGAAACATGTTCTTGCACAACGTGGTCCATTTCAGCTTTGGAAATAGAGCTGGTAACTCTGAAAATGTCCATTTCATCCCATGACCATGAGAGCTATGGGGTGTATGGCTATGTGGTGTACATCTCCACGAGAGGGACAATCTGCAAGTAACTTATTTAATGAAAAAAAGTTTTTACTTTTCTGCTAGAAATTAACTCCTCAAAGCCTGAATTTTATGGGCAAAAGTGCAGAGAAAGTGAAGGAGAATAGACTAATGACTTCGAATAATTGGATTTTCATCATAAATGAAAATTTATTTTTCATCTTCAGGGAACATCCAGTTAAAATAAAACAGAAATAAATATTCATAATGTTTCCCTATGTAGATGTAGTATCACAGTTTTCATTACTCCATTTTTAGATGTAAAACAAAAAAACCCTTTTGCTTTTTTTGAAACATATTCAGCCTGCTAACACTGCCAGGAAAGCAAAGTTAATAAGCCAATTTGTCTCCTTTTTCAAGCAGACATCCTTGTATTTTATCTCAAGTTGCTTTTCAAGCTACAGAGGAAGCACCTGTAAACATGTGTTGCAGAACTACCTCATTATCCTCATTCAAACTCTTTGCAAGCACCATTAAAGACACTGTTTTCAAGTTGAGTCTAAGGCATAATCTGCTTCTGGTGATGAGTCCTTGGTTTTGTGTGTGTTGTTTATAGTTCTGTACAAGAAGGTACCTGCTGCCCATTGCACAAAGACTGCAGGTCAGGTAATCTGATGGTCCAGGACAGAACTACAAACGACAACAAGAGAAGGAACATTTGGTCTTCCAGTAGGTGCATTTCTGAGCTTAATATAACTTTTCCCAGTAGATGATTCACTCATCTAAGGTGACTATTTTTCTGTAGCTCCTGTCCGGCTCGGTGGTTATTTGTATGGACAATGGATTTGAAGACTAAAGAAGTGAAGGACTAACAGACATCCAGACTGAGAACATATTTCTTTCCAAAGCACTTGATTTCTTCATATTTCATGAAGGAAAGTCTTGAATACCATTTTTGAGGATTTTAGGAGGAATGGTGCCTAGACCATAGGAACTATCAGGTGTTTTTTTTTCTTTTGATTTTCTTTAATTTCAGTGGAAAAAGTGTTCTTCGGTTCATGTTAAACTTGGTTTACTCCACGAATCTATTAACTATTTTACCTTTATTTTCCAAAGTGATAAAAAAATTTTTGTGGGTTTGGATTATGTGGGTTGTTCAGATAGACACATTTTAAGGCAACATGTGGAACTGAAGGGCTTCCAGGATGCCCCAGTGAGAACCCAAAGGTATCCAGACTGCAGGACCTGCAATGTAACCTTTTACCACTGCAACACTTAAAAATGTTCTTTTTTACCACATGCTGAGTAAGGTTTATAGCAAATCTATACCTTTACTTAAGCTTTTACAATTCTGCTTGTCAACATGTTTAGCCACCTTTGTTCTCCTTTAGCAATGACAAGGGAAAATGACAGTCAAATATGTCTCAAAATAAAGTAGAAATTAAAAATAATGGCTCATCACGTCTCTCCTTGACCACATTTTTATTCCAGGTGGCAAGGTGACTTTAGGCAGAGAGCAAGTAATTTTATTTTTATCAGTTGAAGGTCTGTAGGTTTACATTGAAAGGGAGTTTGAAAGGGAATGACAGGGAAGTTCTGATGGGGAATAGAATATGTAGAATAGAGTCTATCAAATATACTGAAATCCCAGTAACTTCAGTGGGCAAACAGACGTGAGGGAGACAGCAAGGCTTAAGTTCATGGCTATATGCAGCAAAAGGAGACAGACACTGAGGTCTCTGAGCTCTCATTATGGATGATCAGTGATAGGGATTTACTTCCCTGGCTGATTAAGCTGTGACAACGAGTGAAGAGTGAAGTTACTGCAGGTTTTATGGAGCAAGGATGTTGTAGGGACAGGTGGACAACAAGTCCTTCGTCCTGGTGATTCTCTCCCTCAAAGAGGCAGAGCTGTTCTGCATCAGTCAGATCCAATTCTGTAGACTTCCAATCCACTGAAAAAACCTTCAGTTTTACAAGAATGATTGTTTAACAGGCAGCTCCCCTTCTTGCTTTCTATTTACTGGAACAAGACAGGCTATAAATATGGGACTTGCTGCAGCTCAGGGCCAAGATATGGGTCCGTCTTGGCTCTCTGGATATAAATACAGGTGAGTCACTGGATGTGCCTGTACACACCTTGAAAGAAAAATATCTGAAGTGATCACTGACTGCCAGGAGCCTGTGCCAAATTTTTTGCAATGTCCTTTGCTCCTCCTTGGCTCATCTTCATTCATGACTGCTGAGCCAAGTCAGAGTCTGCCCTTTGGCTCATTTCATTGGCTGGCTCATCACTACAATGTACACAGCCTTTAATGAACTACTGTTTACACCCATGTACATACATACACACACTCACACACACAGATTTCCCACAGACTTTAGTGTCGCTTGTCACAAATTTAGTGGCTCTTCTTTCAAAGGGTTTGTAGTGAATATTATTTATGCTCATGACAGCATCCACAGAACTTCTTGTGCTGCTGAGGATTTTACTTTAGGGTCTGCTTACTTGCTGCATGGAAGCCTTCTTGGTATTATTTTAGTTTGCTTAGATAAAAGAGGAGTCAAACAAAGAATTTTGGTAGGCTACTTAAATAAATGCTTCCTTTTAGAATGAAATTTCCTGTGCATAAATGTGATCTAATGGTCAAGTTCTGATCTACTTGGTGATGTGAAAGCATTTATTAATTCCTGTTAATTCAGTGGTCTTGCTATAGATCCCCACTGGCATATCCAAGAAAAGAATTTGGTTTGCAAACCAAAAGAATCCTAAGCTGTCTCTTTTTCTCTTTGCTGATGGTGTGCATGGTACACAGTACTTTTTCCCTGCAGTGAGTTGAAAGATATTTTCAAAGATACTCTCGCAATAATAAAGTGAGGGTGTTGTACAGCCAGGGTTTAACTGCGAAACGCTCCACTTCTCAAAAAAAAAAAAAAAAAAATTTGCCTCCTCCTCTATGCAAGAGCTTTGCCAAAGGGTGTACATGTTACTGTTGCAGCCAAAATTACTGTTATAGCCAAGGGATGTACACGTTTCTGTGTAAATGCGCTGCCAAAGGGTGTGCGAGCTACAGTTCAAAGTTACAGTTGAAGGGGCATTCCTTGCTTTAACGTATGTGATCTGCTTATCCAGTCAATTAAACGCCGTTTATTTTCAGACGGCTGAGGGGATTGCTCATATGATGCCGA